CGGAACGGGCCCCGCTGACTCCTGCAGGTTCCCGATGATGAAGGCCGTCGCGAAGAGCGCGAAGCCGGCGGCGCCCGTCGAGAGGCACGCAAGCGCCTCGACTGGGATGACGGGGCCCTGCGGGAAGGGGACGAAGCCGCAGATCTGGAGCGTGAGCACGACGGGGGTGAAGACGATCAGGAAGTTGGCCGCGGTGAAGAGCAGCCCCGCCTCCACCTCGAGCAGCTCCTCGAAGAGCGACAGCAGTTTGAACTTTTCGACCAGCGGCAGGAGCTTCTCTGCGGTGCTGAAGGCGCCGGCGCTCTCCAGCTTGGAGAAGACGCCCGCCTCCTCGGCAGCGGAGAGCAAGCCGCTCTCCGCAAGCCCCGTCGCCACCTTCATCTCGTTTAGCCGCGTGAGCAGGTACACGGGCGGCTTCGTGATGGAGACCTCCCGCGCCTCGAGCAGGCCGCCGTCGACGCCCTCAAAAGAGTACACCTTCTTGTTGCCGCCCATCGAGACGGCAGCGAGAGGCGCGCGCCGCTGCACCACGCCCGACGCGGACGACGCGCCGCTGAAGGCGGTGACCGCCGCCGCGATGCAGAGTGCAGTCGCCATGTATGTGTGTGTATCGGAGATGCGGCAGATCCTCGACTTGAGGAAAAAGAATTTGCGCCGGCGTCGGCGTGCCGTCCTCCCATTCACCATCCCTCCCTTGTTGTCCGTTTTATTCCTTTCTTTCTTGGGCAGGGACTGCGAGCCTGCGGTGTCAGGCTACAGCCGAAATTTCAACTTTGGGACAGGGGTCCCCCCCCCCCCTCCGGGCGCCAAAGAGTCCGCGCCCGCTTGCGCCCGTGCGCCCGTGCGCCCGTTTTCCGCCGTGGCCCCGCGCGGCCGTACCTACTCGCGTTTTCGGCCCACCGCCTTCGACCGAGCTTACCACCATCACGTACGCACGTTTTATCGTGTGCGCGACGCGCTCGACCACCACCGCGGTGGCGCCAAGAGCGCCTTTTCAACACGCTGCGATGGCGATGTGCAGCACCAGCCGTCCACTGCGGGAAGGGGCCACGAAAGGTGTCCAGACCCCAGTTCCGGCGGACACAGCGAGCGTCGGGACTCCGTCCCAGCAGACGAAGTCTTCCTCGTGGGCTCCACGGCCCGGATCGCGAGCTCGATCGATACCACGCGCTCGCCTGGACGTCCGCCACCTCTGCGACGTCGACGCTCTCGCAGCGCGCCGAGCGGGCAGCAATCTACTCCTCTCTGCGCGCTCGCGCCGGCCGAGAGCTCGCGTACGTCGCCGTGGCACGCCTTGCGACTCCGTGGACCCTGCTCGGCACCACCGACGCTCCGCGCCGCATCGGTTTTCCTCGGCTCCGGGCCGCTGCACTGCTCTCGCGCTCGTGAGGCTTTTGTGCAGCGCGCGGCACGACCCGAGATCCGCTTCGCCACGGCGCACGCCGCCCGCGCGACACGGACAGTGTGAGGCGGCCCCCGGCACGAGCCTTCACAGCGCCATTCTCCGCGCGCACAGGCAACGAGCGTGGACAGAGAGCCGCATGTGCGCCGCGGTGAATGGCTGCGGCCCGGACCGACCGCCCCGGCTGCCGCCTACCCAGTGCGGCGGCGGCCATCGCATCCCGTCGCACGGCCGCCGCGCGGATCGCCACTCGCGTCGCGCGCCCTCTCTCAGACACGTACTCACGCACCGCGCTGCGGCGGCAGCCTTGCGGCGGGGACAAGGCTCGCGCCGCTCCGCATCGAGTCGTGCCGCTCCGCCGCGAGCGGCTCCACGTACGTCGAGGGCGAGCCGGCGAGCGCACCGACGAGGCCAGGTCGTTTGAGTACGGGGCATGACCCTCTGCCGTGCCCTGACGGTATGTTTGAGACTGCTGACTGTCATGTCGTGAATGAATTAGCGGTGCTAATACAGTAAAAAAAAGTAGACGCACCGCCGAGTACTCTCGTCACGGTCCCCAACAGTCCTCGCGCCGCTCTCGACACACAAACAAATCTCGCCCTAGGAAATCTCGTCTCGACCACCCACAAAAAGAAAAACAACGTGGGGGTGCGCCAGAGGCAAAGCGGTCGCAAGCTGTCTCGGTGGCGCGGCGAGAAGTCACACACGGCACGCAACCACAACACAGCCGCAGACACAGCCTAGCCGCCACCCCCGGGCACACAAGCGAGGCAACGGCAACGGGCTCGCACACGCTGCACTGGTGAGCGGCGAGAGCCTCGCGACACCCTCTTCCGTCGAAACGTGAAGAGCTCACCATCGCGGCGAGACGACGCACTATAGCGGTGCGGCCCAGCAGCTCCCGGGGCGACGCGTCTGCTCCCCTCTCTCCGCCGAGAGGACCGCCGGGAGCGCATCCAGACGCACAGCGACCGGGCAGCAATCGTCCGCGGCGCCGAGGGAGAAGACGGAGCAGCGGCAGCTTGCCGGTGTCGACACCTGTGCGAGCGGCGAAGGCGCACTCAATTGTCGACACCTCAGCGTCGCGCGCCGGCCTGTGGAGGGATCGAGCCGAGCGAGAACTGAGCGTTGTGGCGAGCGGAGCGGTGAGTGAGGCTGGAGAGAGGGCGCGCGTCGCGGTTTCTGGGTTTGGAGCGGTCAGGGCCAACCAGTTTCACGCACCGTTAGCTCCGAAGCGCATTCGGGTGCCGACGGCAAGGATATATGAAGCCGCCGCCGTCGGAGACGCTCTCGGCGACTCGTTGAGGCGCCGAGGGAGGCCCCGTAGGCAGTCGCGGCGGCTCGAGCGGCTGCAGAGTGCTCACCGGGAGGGGTGCGGGGGGAGCTGCGCCCGCGGCGGCGGATGGGCGGCGCACGTGTGGGCGTGCAGCACAGGAGACGCGCGGCGAGAGCGTGAGCAGCAGCGACTGCGGGCAGAGAGCTGGCAGAACACGAGCGAGACGCGGGATGTTTGGGGCTGTGTCGTGTCGAGTCGACCTACGTGCCCGCTCGGCGAGCCTCGACGCGGCGCAGGAAGCCGTGTCGGCTGGTGCTGCACATCGCCATCGCAGCGTGTTGAAAAGGCGCTCTTGGCGCCACCGCGGTGGTGGTCGAGCGCGTCGCGCACACGATAAAACGTGCGTACGTGATGGTGGTAAGCTCGGTCGAAGGCGGTGGGCCGAAAACGCGAGTAGGTACGGCCGCGCGGGGCCACGGCGGAAAACGGGCGCACGGGCGCACGGGCGCAAGCGGGCGCGGACTCTTTGGCGCCCGGAGGGGGGGGGGGGGGACCCCTGTCCCAAAGTTGAAATTTCGGCTGTACTTTTTCACAGTCCGGAAAGTGAGGGGTGGCCACCCTCAGCATCGAGGTGTGCGCCAAACCACTTCGGCGGCGCGCGCTCCCCTGTGCGTCTGTGGCACCCTCCAGGCCCTCACACCCCCCCGGCATGTCCAACGGCAAGGAGGCTTCCGTGCCGAGTGACGCGGCGGCCACGGACAGACCCAACGGCAGCGTCGGCGCCGCCTGCCAAGCGGCCGCGCGACAGCGAGGGTAGTCACCAATTAAAGGTGGGACGGAAGAGGCACACGACGGTGCCATCGCGGGAGCGTTACGGCGGACCTGCTTCAAACCCCAAGACGGAGGCGCTGAGCGAGATTCTGGGCTGCACGCACGCGCATGGCTGCTGCGAGAGCTCGGAGGCAGAGCTTGCTCGACGAGAGCTGCTCGAGCTCATCACTGCACCCGACGTTGACGTTGGTGGCGCGATCAAGCTCTTTCTTCACAGCCTCGCACCTCTTCTTCCCGTCGCAGGAAAAGGCAAATGACTCGGGTGAGGATGCGTCAGCACGAGTACTATTTCATCGTGCAGCGCAGGCTGGCTCGCCACTACTGTTGGCTGGAGCTCCTCTCCCGCCCGACGTCGGTGCTGGCGCATGACAGGCGATCACTGTATGCATCGTGCGCCTTCCTGTGTGTCGGTCTCCGCACAGAGCCGCACCATGGCGCATGGTTGCCGCATGGGTGTCGGCGTGTGTCGGCCGGGCGCGTCTCGTCAGTCGTCCCGTGCCTGTCCTTTAAACGGCATTTGTGTGGCCCGTTTTTTTGTGCATCGTTAGAAGTGCGCAGGCCTCCCCGAATTACACGTGCGATCGCCGCGCGCACACGACAGTCTATCGACAGACGACACGCGACAGACAGGAGACTGCAGACTCCTCGGAGGAGACCGCACACGACCACGTGAGGGGACCACCACTCCACAGGTGACAGACAGCACACTCTTACACACGAGACACACTGATGGGAAAGGACGGAGCGGCGGCGGCGGCGGGAGCGGTGCGCGGGCGGAGCAGCGACCGCCTAGGTGGTCGCTGCTCCGTGCCGGAGCGCGCCGTCTCTGCGCAGGGTCGCGCGTCAGGCCGGGGGCAAGGCGCAAGCGTCCCCCTGGTGGCGGCGCAGGGAAACGCGGAGGCGGCCGGCGGTGGCGGAGACGCGAGCGTTTTGCACGCGACGAGGCGAACGGTGATGGCGCGGTGGGTGACGGGGCTAGAGAACACCCGACGCTCGCAAACGACGTCGGTGCTGGACGCCTGCGTAAGGGCCGCAGGGCGGTCGTGGTGGGGCAAGGCGGACCTGGCTGGGGGCCGGGTGCAAGGCGCCGGCGGGGAGCTCTCCCGGACTCATGTGTGCGAGCGCATGCCCTCCTACCTAATCCGCGCCTCACCACGCCGCTGCATAGTATGGCTTCCGAGGCTGAACCGCTCCGCAACGGTTGGTAGCTCGACCTGCACATTGACAAAGTGCGGTTACCTGTCAGTCGTCGACGTCGCGTGCGAGATCCAATATCGCCGGCCGAGCGATAGCCACCTGAGAGGATAGGGATCCGTGTCAGCATGCCGTAGCCGAGCAGTGCCGCGCTTGTGGCGCCGCGCATTGCATTGGCTTCACCTTCGGTCTCAGCGCTCGGGCCGGCGCCGGGGGTCATGGGGCGACACTCGGTCACGCTCCGGCGCCTCGGGGGGGCTTCAGCGGGCAGTGCGCGAAACCACTTCGCATGGCCACCCGCGACCCCACTTTGGACCCGTGCCGATCCCGCCAGATCCCGAGCGAGCGAGCGAGCCGGCGGTTGACAGCACCTCGCAGCCCAAAAGCCGCAGCGCGCGTCACCGCGAGGCCAAGCCTCCGCCGCACGAGCGCGCCCGTGCGGCGCACAACCCCTGCCAAGACAACGCCGCGGTCTCCGCTCTCATGCGGCCGCCTCCGGCCAAAGCGATAGCCGTGAGAGGGCAGCGTCGGCCCACCACGCCCGCGAGACGGACGCCAGCAAAGGCTCTTCGGCATCCAATGCTCTCGCCCCGCACGGCCGCCGCTGTCGCGGCAGCGCAGCGGCGAGTGGCGGCTCGAGCCGCCGCCGAGCGCGGCGCTGCCCGCGCCGCGCGCGCGCCCGTCCGCCAGCGGATGGCTCGCACCGCACCAGCGCTGGCTGGCACCGCCGCAGCGTCCGCCGCGCGAGCGTCCGCCGCGCCCGGCGCGCCTGACGTTGCTCGCCTGCAGCATCGCCTTGAATCGGGCGCGAATGCGCATCCAAAGGCGGCACGGCCGGGCCGGACTGGGTCGGCGGCGCGCGAGGCTCGGCTCCGGTGCCAGACGGCGGAGTCG